GCTCCATTCCTTCTACAGAATCGATATGCCTTCGGTGACAGGCATTGAAGTAGTTGCATGTCAGGTTAATATTCGAGGTAAATGCCTCAGTATTGCCTCAGTATATCTTCCACCGAGAACCGCGATCTCTCGTCAAAGTTTCGTGGATATCTGCACAGCTATGCCGGAGCCACGGTTGATCTTGGGAGATTTTAACTCTCACGATACAGGCTGGGGGGAACTGTACGACGACAACCGTTCAACCTTGATATATGACATGTGCGACTTCTTTAAAATGACAATTCTTAACACCGGGGAAGCAACACGAGTAGCCAAACCTCCAGCAAATATAAGCAGATTAGACCTCTCACTTTGTTCGAGTTCACTACCGTTGGATTGCACGTGGAAAGTAATTCAAGATCCCTACGGTAGTGACCATTTGCCAATCAAAATTTCTATTACTTTTGGTTCATCTTCTACTCGCTCGGTTGACATCGCGTACGATCTTACAAAAAACATTGACTGGCGAAAATTCACGACCGCGGTTCTTGAGGCCAGTCAATCGGTTGAAACACTTCCTCCACTGTACGAGTACTCCTTTCTCGCGCGACTTATCATCGATTGTGCGCTGCGAGCACAAACGAAATGTGTTACGGGTGTTTCCGTTCGCAAGCGACCTTAAAAATCTCCCAGACGTCGCGAAGAGACGCTTGTTGAACTTATTCAATCAATTTCTGGAGCACAACATTGTTCCGGATGACTGGAGGCAAGTAAGAGTTATTGCCATCCGAAAACCTGGTAAACCCGCGTCGGATTATCACTCGTACCGTCCCATCGCGATGCTGTCCTGTATCAGAAATTGTTGGAGAAAATGATTCTTTTTCGTCTAGACAAATGGGTTGAATCGAATGGTTTACTTTCAGATACGCAATTTGGATTTCGGAGAGGTAAAGGAACGGGCGCTGTCTTGCGTTGCTTTCAACTGAAATTCAACTGGCCTATGCGCAAAAACAGCAAATGGGTTCAGTTTTCTTGGACATTAAGGGGGCTTTTGATTCTGTTTTTATCGTCCTTTCGGATAAACTCCACAATAGTGGACTTTCACTAATTATGAATAACTATTTGAGCAACTTGTTGTCTGAGAAATATATGAGCTTTTCTCATGGAAACTCGACAACTTCACGAATTAGTTACATGGGTCTCCCCCAGAGCTCATGTTTAAGCCCTCTTCTTTATAATTTTTATGTAAAAGACATTGATGGTTGTTTTGATGAAAATTGCTCGCTAAGGCAGCTTGCAGATGACGGGGTTGTGTCCGTTATAGGGCCAAGTGCACCGGACCTGCAAGGACCATTGCAAGATATCTTAGACAATTTGTCTACTTGGGCTATGAAGCTAGGTATCGAATTCTCTCCAAAGAAAACTGAGTTGGTTGTTTTTTCTAGGAAGCATCATCCTGCACAGTTACAGCTTCAACTAAAGGGTAGAACAATCACTCAAAGTATATCTTTCAAGTATTTAGGTGTCTGGTTCGATTCCAAAAGCACGTGGGGAAAACATATTGCGTATGTGAAACAAAAATGCCAACAAAGAATCAATTTTCTTCGTACAATTACTGGAACTTGGTGGGGAGCACATCCGGAAGATCTAATCAGGTTGTATCGAACAACCATCTTGTCGGTTCTAGAGTACGGTAGCTTCTGTTTTCAATCCGCGGCAAAAACACACATCCTGAAGCTGCAACGGGTTCAATACCGTTGCCTCCGAATCGCGCTTGGCTGTATGCACTCGACGCATACGATGAGCCTCGAAGTACTCGCGGGTGTTCTCCCACTGACAGATCGTTTCGCGGAACTGTCCTCCCGGTTCTTATCCGTTGTGAAATAATGAACCCATTGGTAATAGAAAACTTAGAGAAGCTGAGTCCTCACCAACTGGCAACAAAAATGGAATGAGAGTGATCTGGGAAGATGGTTACATTCTATTCTCCCACAGGTTTCGAACAAGCCGTGGTTCAAAGGATTGGACATGAGCCGTGTCATGTCGAGGCTCATGTCCAATCACTGCTCGGTAGACTCGCATTTCTTTAGAATCAGGCTCGCAGGCAGCAATTTGTGGGCTTGTGGTAGTGGTTATCACGATATCGACCACGTGCTTTGGTCATGCACCCTACATTGTGTTGCTAGATCCGAGTTATCCGCATCCCTCGCCCGAGGAAAACAACTTTAGAGACATCTTGGCGAGCCAAGATATTGACTATTGCAATTTAAGTTATGTGTTTTTAAAACGGATCGATCTTGAGGATTTAGTGTCATCTTTTGTTCTCTCAAGTTGCTAGGTCCCCATCGGTGTACCCCCATGTTCGTCTTTTCTCCAGTATGTCGCCTAGTTCTAGATTAAGAGCACATTGCTCGAAAAAACCTTGTGTTCTCAATCCCTATCCTGCCATCCATTTGTTACAATTTGTTACCCCTAACCTCGAGATAGCCGCGAGTAATCGGCCCCCGCTTTACTAAAGTTAGTTTTAAGTGATTTTGTAACCCAAACGATGAATATCGGCTCCGCAAAGCTACGGCAAATGAGCATGGAAAAATAAACGCATTAAAAAAAAAAAAAAAAACATGATCTCCCGCCACAGTGATGACACAGGACATTCTCTTTTTTTCACTAATATTGTTGAAATCAAATGCGAAATTCAGCCTCTCAGCATAATTAGAGAAAGAGCTACCCAGACATTTAAGACTCAAGGTTACCAATAAATGTGCTCATTTTTCACCGAGTCTCAGCTAACAATAACTTCAGTATCGCACCACAACTACAACACTGCCTAACAACCCGCACCCAGAGAGTATCTCCGATTTACATCTCTATGATGAACACTAAAATGGCTATCTTTTAAAAAATCTTCCAAATTAAACAATAGCAGTGCACTAATAAGATGGTGTATAGAACAGTAAAGATTACAGTTTACTTTTATTTAAACTTTTATTTAAAATTTTATTTTATTTATTTTTTTTCCAGGATTACTACATTAAATTTTAAAATATGAAAGCTTCTTATATGATTTTCACACAGAAACTACACACCACTACCAGTACGGTTTATTGTTCCACACAAAGCATTCTTTCAAAAGTTCCAAAATTATACCTTTGCAATACTAATGTAATGATCACTGTAAGAACCGTAAACTCTAAAATCCGGTGGTTATTTTCAAACGTATTCACTTGCACGCTAATTTCCATCACTCGTCGTCAGTTAATATGACATCATTTTAGGGAAACCACAGTGGTAAACTTCGAGTATGAACAAAGACTGAACCAAACGTTTATTCGTGAGTCGAAAGGCCCTGACATCACAGACGTGACCAGAGATGTTTATGCCTCAGAAAAATCCCACCGACCCCCCTAGCAGTTTTTTTTATTTGAAAATTTACGTGCTGCACATATTTTATACATTTTTAACTATTATGAGAGAGTTTTGAGAAATGTTAAATTCTAAATCTGAAAATCAAGCTGAAATGAAAATTATTAGTACTGCTATTATTTTGAACAATTTTACCTGGTGTCTCACTTTCCGGCAGGTGCTTCCAAAAATTTAATATTTTGTAATCGTAAAATTAACATATTTGTAGTTCTTTGGCGAACGTTTCAGCTCAATTGATCATAAGCTAACAAAGTTACATCAGAATTTTACATTGTAATTCAAGCGGGAATGGCGAAAAAAGTGACTTTAGTGACTTTTTTTTGTCGAAAATAGGGACTTTTTAGTGACCACCTTCAAAAAAGTGACCCGCTATCAGCTCTGTAATTGACTGGATGCGGTTTGACAACTCACTGTGATGATCCTCGAACACTAGCGTGCGCAGCAGAGGGACAGGAGTGACACACTCGCTGTATGTTACTTTTAATCATGGCCATGATACCACTATGGAAGTGACACTGAAAACCATATTTTCAAATCATTTTCTTTTAAAAACACATATATTAAATAAGTTTCCCAATATGTGGAGGTAACTTCAGGTAAAAATCTTGAAACAATGAAATCCGAGGTTTATAAAGAAGAAGTGTATTTTTTGGATAGTTTGTAAATCTATCAGACTCTACATCTTTATTTAAATTTAAATTGTAATTTTGAAAAATGTAACAAATCCAGGGTCCTGATGGAAAAACTTCAGAAAAATCCAAAAAGACGATTTCTAAGAAAATCAAAATAGGCATTTTTGCAAAGGTTGGTTGAAATCGGTGACTTTGACTTTCGAAAATGTTTTTTTACACGGGGGATAGGGGAATTTACGTATTTTCGTCAATCTAAGCAGCGTCTGCACTTCTACTAGCATTTTCTCAGCGTCACGCACATATATGATGTGTCTGTTTGTTTACATTCATCTGCTGCTTGCTTCTCTATCCATTCCAATCGACAGAATTTTTCAAAACGTTTTGAAAGCGTTTTTACAACGCTCCAAACTTCTCAGGTGAGTGTGACTATTGTCGGCAGCCTCTTTTTCTTCGGCAACCTTCCCATTAGAACTGCGTGTTAACCAGCTGTTCTATTATCGGCAAATCGAAATCAACCCCATTTTGTAGTGCGTATGCTTTATTTGAAGAAAAATGTAGCATTACTGGATTGCTCGATCGTTCAAATATAATCAGATTGAAGCTGAAAGGCTAAACAATCGTTTGGAAACATTCAGGGAAGTGCGTTGATGGGAAAACATAGTGAAATTAACGTTTAAATTTTGGTTGCCGAAAACAGTCAGTGGGTGCCGAAGCCAACATTTACCCTATGTAAGAAAAAAATACAGAGATTTTGAAACGGATAATGTGAATTGAATCAAGTCAATAGGTTTAATCGTTGTCGAGAAATCGTTAAAAACGTACCGTTTAAATCGCGACTCAGTGGCACTAACTTCGTAAAAAAGAACGTGTAAAAAATCGTGTAAAAACAGACTTCAGTGTATACACTTGAGCGTGTGAGATATACATGTAGATACATAGCTACAATTCATCATATTTTTTTTTCAGGTTAATTCACTATTGGAAGAACAACCAAATACATTTGAAGTGTGTTTGCCGAATCAACAGTACAATAATGTCTACAACAAACGTATGATACAGGAGATGATTGAATCGCTTCAGCGCCAAATAAATCTGCGTAATGTAAAGGAATTATATGCTGCAAAAAACTACCATACCTTGGTGAATATCTTGAAAGACAGTTTAACCCATACGACGCTTGTTCAATCTAACACCAATCAAACATTAAGCATATCGACACAAATTGAAATTTTGTTGGAGTGTTTTTGGCATTTGGAGCAATATTTGGTGAGTATGACCGAATTAATTAATTAACACTCCGAATACGATGCCTCCGAAAAACGTGTAACGGCAAGTTTGCAATGGCACAACTTAGTCATTTCTTAATGAATTTCAAAAATTGTGGTACCTTTAGAATTCCTTGGGTTTGTAGATAATTTTGATTGTAAAAATATTGAAAATTTAATCGTCTACTTTTTTAAATAGCGAAAAGAGTTGTTACACGCAGTGTTGTAAATTTTCATATCATTCGATTTAAGATGAACCACTACAACCATTCAATCAATTCTGTGTAAACGAATTCTCACATGACCATAATTTGAAGAGCCCCTTTCTCATTCGAAGCTCATTGTCACTGTCAATTGAGTCACTCAGTATCATTTGATATACGACAGTGGAGTATGGAATAAATCCAGCAAAATGGTCCCGAACAGACAAGTCGACCCGATGTCGGATCAATGTAAGGCTAATTTAAGGTCGATGTCGACCCAATGTCGTGTTGTTGTTGGGTAAATTTTGGCTTTTATGTCGGGTCAACATCGGGTTGGGGTTTGATAGAAGTCAGGTTGCGGAGATGAACTAGCCATAGGCTAAAAATCTCTAACACTCCGAATACGGAGGGTAAAAAACTTTACGCCGACTACGAAGCCTCCGAAAAACGTGTAACGGCAAGTTTGCAATGGCACAACTTAGCCATTTCTTAATGAATTTCAAAAATTGTGGTACCGTTAGAATTCCTAGGGTTTGTAGATGATGTTGATTGTCAAAAGATTGAAAATAGAGTCGTCTACTTTTTTAAAAAGCGAAAAGAGTTGTTACACGTTTTTTTGAAAGGTGTGTTTGTAGGGTTTTGCAAGTGGCGCAGGATCTGTAATTTAGATTAATGGGCACAAATGTTCACAATTAGCACACAGTCATGGTTCCTATATATGGATCCTGGAGACAACGAAACGGTCCTCGAAAAATCCGGAACATCCATAAAAATGGTCAATCCTAGAGCTCTGCGGTTTTTTGAAAACATTAGGAACTGCGATATAATTTTTTTTTTTGGGGTTACGATATGAAAATGTACCTGTGTGGCTATGGGACCGTCCTCCGGAAGATCCGGAACATCCGTAAAAGTGATCAATCCATGAAACTGATCCTAGAGCTCCGCGTTGTTTAACATTAAGATCTGTGATATAAAAATGAATTTGGGTCATGGACCCAGATGGCCATCGGACCGTCCAGCGGAAGATCCGGAACATCCGTAAAAGTAGTAAATCCACGATTCTGATCCTAGAGCTCCGCGTTTTTTTTAAACATTAGGAACTGTGATGATAGAAAGAATTTGGTGTTGTGACATAAACATGAACCTGGATGTCCATGGGACCATCCTCCGGAAGATCCGTAACATCCGTAAAAGTGGTCAATCCATGAAACTGATCTTAGGGCTCCGCAGTTTTTGAAAAACAATAAGAACTGAGGTTATAGAATGAATTTGGGGTCGCGACATAAACATGGGCCTTGATGGCCATGACACCGTCCTCCGGAAGATCCGGAACATCCGTGAAAGTGGAAAATTCACGAAACTGATCCTAGAGCTCCGTGGTTTTCTTGAAAACGTTAGGAACTGTGATATTATAATGAATTTAGGATCGTGACATAAACATGGACCCAGATGGCCAACGGACCGTCCTCTGGAAGATCCGATAAATCCGTAAAAGTGGTCAATGTATGGAACTGATCCTAGAGCTCCACGGTTTTTTCGAAAACACTTGGAACTGTCATATATAAATTAATTTGCGGTCGTTACATAAACATTTACCTAGAAGGCCATGGGACCGTCCTCCGCAAAATCTAGAACATCTTTAAAAATTGTCAATCCTCGAAACTGATTCGAAAGCATGTGAAACTGCGATATAAGAAAGATTTTGGGGTCATGACATAAACATGGACCCAAATGGCCATCCTTTGTTAAGTCCAGAACATCCGTAAAAGAGATCAATCAATGAAACTGATCCTAGAGCTCCGCAGTTTTTTTTTTTCAAAAACATTCAGAACTGTGATATAAGACAGAATTTGTGGTCGTGACAAAAACATGCACCTGGATGACCATAGGACTGTCCTCCGGAAGATACGGAAAATCCGTAAAAGTGATCCAGTGGTTTATATCACAGTGTTTAAAAAAGAACTGCAGAGCTCTAGGATCAGTTTAACAGTATGACAAATTTACGGATGTTCCGGATCTTTTGGAGGACAGTCCCATGGCCATCCGGATCCATGTTTATGTCACGACCCTAAATTCTATATTAAATCGCAGCTCCAAGAGTTTTCGATAAAAACCACGGTTTTTTCACAGTTTCATGGATGATCCACTTTAACGGATGATCCGGATTTTCTGGAGGACGGTCCAATGGCCATCCAGGTTCATGTTCATGTCTCGACCCTAAATTCTTCCATATATCACAGTTTGAAGTGTTTTCGACAAAACTACGGATCTCTAGAAACAGTATCATGGATGGACCACTTTTACGGATCTTTCGGAGGACTGTCCCATGGTAATTCTGTTCCATGTTTATGTTAAGACCTCAAATTCATTCTAATATCACATTTCCACGGTTTTTTCGTTCTTGGATCAATTTTTTGGCTTGCTTGCTTGCAATCGGGCTAAGGCCTTGTTGTCCTCTGCTGTCCGAAGATGTCGTCTCCACTCTACTCGATTCATGGCCAGACTTCGCCAGCCTCGTAGTCTGCGAAGAGTCCGCAGGTCGCCTTCTACCTGGTCGATCCACCTTACCCGCTACGCACCTCTTCTTCTTTTTCCTGTTGGGGCGCTTTCGAGAACTATTTTCACTGCGTCGTCGTGCGACATTCTTACGACATGCCCAGCCCACCGTAGTCGCCCAATTTTTGCAATGTGAACAATGTGGGATGGTTCTCCAAACAGCTGGTGCAATTCGCCTCCTCGACGTTCCGTCATCCATCTGCACTCCACCGTAGATGGTTGCGTTTAAAAACACCAAGGGCGCGTTTGTCCTCCACGAACATAGTAATGGTCTAATCAGTGTCTTTTAGATAGTCAACTTCGTGGCGAATTTTATTCGACCGCAGCGTCATCCGGAGTCCAAAGTACGCACGATTCCCTGCCATACTGCGTCTTCGAATTTCTCTGCTGGTATCATTTTCGGCGGTCACCAGTGAGCCCAAATACACGAACTCTTCGACCACCTCGAATCTCTTCTTTTCATGTATTTTGTCTTTGATGCGATGATGGAAGTGCCAATGCCTAGCTTCAGTCTTCAGTCTGATGTACGTTTCCGCCATCGTCTCAAAGTTCCGTGCCATGATGTTGATGTCATCGGCGAAGCCAAGAAGCTGGATGGAATTCCTGAAGATCGTGCCACTCGTGTCTATCCCTGCTTTTCTGATCACACATTCTAACGCGATGTTGAATAGCAGACACGAAAGTCCATTACCTTGCCGTAACTCCCTTCAAGATTCAAAGGGACTCGAGAGCGTCCCCGATAGTCGAACAACGCATATCATTCGATCCATCGTCGCCTTGACCAATCGCATCAGTTTATTCGGAAATCCGAACTCGTGCATAATCTGCCATAGCTGATCACGATCGATTGTGTCGTATGCGGATTTGAAATAGATGAACAAATGATGTGTATGCAAGTTGTTCCTAATGTTTTTGGAAAAAAAAAAATTGCGGAGCTCAAGGATCAGTTTCATTGATTGACCTCTTTTACGGATGTTCTGGACTTAACAGAGGATAGCCATTTGGGTCCATGTTTATGTCATGACCCCAAAATCTTTCTTATATCGCATGCTTTCGAAAAAAAACCGTAGAACTCTAGGATCAGTTTCGAGGATTTTCCATTTTTAAAGATGTTCTTGACCTTGCGGAGGACGGTCCCATGGCCTTCTAGGTACATGTTTATGTCACGACCGCAATTTAATTTATATATGACCGTTCCAAGTGTTTCAGAAAAAACTCGTGAAGCTCTAGGATCAGTTCCATACATTGACCACTTTTACGTATTTTTCGGATCTTCCGGAGGACGGTCTGATTGCCATCTGGGTCCATGTTTATGTCACGATCCTAAATTCATTCTAATATCACAGTTCCTAACGTTTTCAAGGAAACCACGGAGCTCTAGGATCAGTTTCGTAAATTTTTAACTTTCACGGATGTTCCGGATCTTTCGGAGGACGGTCTCATGGCCTTCTAGGTCAATGTTTATGTCACGACCCCAAATTCATTCTATCTTCTCAGTTCTTAGTGTTTTTCAAAAACTGCGGGGCTCTAGGATCAGTTTCATGGATTGACCACTTTTACGGATGTTACGGATCTTGCAGAGGACGGTCCTATGGACATCCAGCTTCATGTTTATGTCACATCCCAAAATTCTTTCTATCATCACAGTTCCTAATGTTTAAAAAAAACGCGGAGCTCTAGGATCAGAATCGTGCATTTACCACTTTTACGGATGTTCCAGATCTTCCGCTGGACGATGGCCATCTGGGTCCATGACCCAAATTCATTCTTATATCACAGATCCTAACGTTAAAAAAACGCGGAGCTCTAGGATCAGTTTCATGGCCATCCAGGTACATGTTTAAAGGGTGTCCACGATGAAATTGCCACACTATGAAATTGCTCTAACTTTTTAACCGTTGGGTAGAATTTAATGAAAATTTGGGTGGATTTAGTTCATAGTGCATTATTTACATCCTGCAAGTTTTAAAGTCCTGTGATCAAAACTCGCGGAAATGGAGTCGAAAGAACAGCTCGTGCGTGATAAAATCTTGCGCATTCATCACGAGAACAAGGATCTCTCGCATCGTTCCATCACTAAAACGTTGGGAATCGCGAATTCCACGGTGTCGCGAGTGATTAAGCGGTTCGAGGAACGGTTGACCACCGATCGGAAGCTCAGAAGTGAAGGAAAAAGTATTCCGTACAACACCAAAAATCACAACCGCGTAGTTGGGGTCTTCAACCGATATCCGAACGCCTC